TAATCAAACCCTGGAGCAGCTACAGCTGGGAGTGGTGTCTGTATAGAAAAATACATAAAGAAAACCAGGTTTTTCTGGGGATTACATCTGAACTAAGGGAAGCAGTGATCAATCAGGCCTTTATTACAGTTGCTGGGTTTTGTGAGGGTGGTTATTGCCATGCTGGAAAGCGTTAGGTGCCACTTGTCCCCTTTAGCAAGGAGTCTGTCCTTGCTGAGTGCAGAGCAGCACGGGTGGGAACAGCGTTTTCCTGTGATGGATCTGACAGGACACTCTGTGCTTCTCTTCCTCCCATTCCCCCTACAGCCATCCCTTCCTGTCCTATATACACTCTCCAGTCAAGCTACACATGAAGCAGTTCATCTCCTTTGCAGGATGTTGGTCTTTGATCCAGTAAGTAGGACTGAAAATCACCTCTAATACTTCTGGTTTGAACGGTTTTTTGTTGTCTGGTGCTTAAATGAGCGTTGTAAATCAAGGACTGCTTTAGCTGGTTTCCTTCTACATGGCATTGCAGTACTTTTGGTCCATAAAAAAATGTAAAAATATCAAATAATTGGCCAGTGAGTTCCCCCTGGAATGGGGGTTTCACGTTTCAAACGGAGTGGTCCTGGGAAGGAAGCTCTGGCAGTGGGAAGGATGAGGCTGTGCATGACTCATGCTCTTTTCCGAGCTGGGTGTAGGTAGCAGAACATCAGCTACTTTGATGCAGTTCTAATTAGGGACACGGGGGTGTTCCTGGTCTTGCAACACACAGAAAATTCCTCCTGCATCCCCAATCACAGAACAGGATCGTTTTTCCACTGAGCATCTGTTTTTCTAATAAAAATGAGCTGCTGTGGATTTTGGATTTCATTTCTTGGGACATTGTAGAGAATTGTCATGAGAAAATCTGATACGGGAATTGATAATCTTAATTATTTCATTCCCACAGAACCCCCCAACATTGCAAATGTAAAACAGAGTGACTGCAGTGCAAAGGAGGCTGGGGGTTGATGAAGCATTTAGAAGCACTGCCTTTGCAGTGTATTTTTTTTAAACCTTAAGATTGCTTTGCTGAATGTTAAACCATAACTTCCATATTAAAAAAAAAAATCCTTTCTGACTCCTTCAACACTTAGAATGCTGTTTTTCTCAGCTGGTTTTGACTTATTGCAGGAGTCATAATTGTGAGGTTATCTGGCCAAAATAACCCGTGTAAAAACATGTTCCTGAAAGCCATGTGATGCTGATCAGGGTTTGCCATGGTGGCTGTGAGCAGGGAGGTCGGTGCCACCAGCCAGGCTGGTTTGTGAGCCTCAGCTCCCCTCTAGTGGCAGGATGATGGGTTTATAAAGCAGCTGAGCATGCATGGATGAGTGGTTGCAAAGCTCTGAACACAGCTCACTGGTGCTCTCGTCCCTCCCCGTGCTGTTCCCAGTCCAAAAGGATATCTGCTAAGGATGCCTTAGCCCACCCCTACCTGGACGAGGGGCGCCTGCGGTACCACACCTGTATGTGCAAATGTTGTTTCTCCACCTCGACTGGCAGAGTTTATACCAGTGACTTTGAACCCATCACTAACCCCAAATTCGATGACACTTTTGAGAAGAACCTCAGTTCTGTTCGGCAGGTTAAAGGTGAGCAGGGTGAACCTTGCACGTGCAGTTGTCCCCCCTGCACTGGGGGATGTGGGATGGGCTTGGGATGGAGTTGGGATTTGTGTTCTGGATCCATGCTGTGACCCCAGTGCTGCTTCCTTTTAGGAGTTTTTCCATAGTAGAGACTGGAAATATTTTCACCAAGAGAACAGAGTTGTCAGTGTTCTGACATGAGGCAGTGGCACAAGCACGAGCTGACCTGCAGAAGTGTGTGGGTTTAAACCTCACCAGTGCCCATCCCTGGTGCCCTGTTCCTCATCCTTCTGTTCAAGGGTGGCACAGGGGGAAGGGGAAGTCACTGTGTGGCCTTTTGGGGCTGTGAGCTGTGACCTCCAAAGCTGTCCTGCAGAAAGGGGCAGCAGCAGCCAGAGCTGAAGCTGAGCAGTCAGATTTAGGGAAGCTGGAGCTCTTTTCTCCTCACTAAAATGTGTTCTCAATAAGGGAAGTTCTGTTCTCCTCCAGCTGACACTGCATTTTACTGAAGCCAGAAGTGTTAATGCTGTGTTGTTTTGTATTTTTCTCCTGTGTACAGAAATAATTCATCAGTTCATTTTGGAACAGCAGAAAGGAAACAGAGTGCCTCTCTGCATCAACCCTCAGTCTGCTGCTTTTAAGAGCTTTATTAGGTAACTGTATGTAATCACATCTGATATTAATTCCCATTTATTAGTAGTACAGAACTCGCACATCCAGGATGTTTGAGGTTTTCAGTTCCTGAGAGTAGGAAAGGCCCATAGATAAAACCCTTGTGCACTGTTTTTATGAATTCTTCTGGAATTTAAGTAAAACATGCAAAAGTTTCAAGTAATGTTTTTGTGCAGAAGAGCAGAAGTCAGACTGGAACTGAAATTGGGAAGGTTGACAAGTTGGGTTGTGGAGCTGCTCGGTGAAGGAGAGAAGTGAGGGGTGAAAATGCAGATAAAGGAACCCTTGCAGTCGGTGCTGGTGGCGGGGTGGGGCTGGGTTTGGGGTTTGGTCCCTGTGGGCAGGGGGGCTGTGGCCAGGAGCCCCTGGCAGTGGCCCTGACGGGTGTGTGTGTCCCCTGTGCAGCTCCACGGTCGCCCAGCCCTCCGAGATGCCGCCGTCGCCGCTGGTGTGGGAGTGACCGGGGCCCCGTACTACTGAAGATGTAATGTAGCTTTCCACTGGAGTCTGGGATTTGCAATTCTGGAGGTTAATCATGCTTGTACTGTAATTTTACTAATGAAGTTTTAAATTAACAACCACTACTTGTACAATATGAATAATACTTAGAAATGTACTAGACTTTTAATCTTGTAAAGTGGTTGTGCTTTTAGAAGAAAATATTTTACCCAGAGTTGCACGTGTTTTATGAATTCTAGTGCAGCTGTGATGGCTCAGCTCAGAACAAACAGAATTGAACCAAATTCGGGGAGGTTTTTCTTTTTGTTTTTTTCTTTTTATTTCCTTTTTTTTTTTTTAATTGAAGTGAGATTGTACAAACAGATAGACATACATTTTGATATTGAGCCATTCCTGAAGATTATGGGTTTTCTAAAACTAAGGAATACAGAAAACTTGACTGCGACCAATCATGAAGTCCCCGTGGGTGGCTGTGGCCATGGGAAGTGGCCACGTCCCCTGATGCCCAACCCTATAAATAGCTTCTCACTAGAGCTGTGATGGTGATGTGTGCTGTTCTAAAATCAAATGTTGTGAGTAGAGAGAATGAGTTTGTGACTAGGAGAGACTAAACTTCTGTTTCCTTACCCAGTATAAATATATATATATATTTAATCTATTTTTATTAGAAGTTTTTCTGCTCTTTCTTACATAAAACCCCCCAGCATGCATCTTCTATGTGTGTAAATAATTCCATTTATGGGCTAATTTCAGAGATCCCTGACATCATTGCTGTATAGAGAGAAACTAGCTTGCACATTTTAGGTCTGTGAAATTTTGTGAGAACTTTTTCCTGCACTGGACAGTTGAGAGAAAAAAAAAGAAAAGGACAAAAAAAAGCACATAGGGAATTCTGTTAATTGTGTTCGTGTCTTTAGGCAAAGCTGTGGAAGTCTTGAAATGTCACAGTAGTAAATAACTTTTATTACTTTTTGGCTAATTCTTTTTCTGTTGGAACACTGAATTCTGTGCATATGTATATATGAACACAAATTGAAGGCCTCTACCTCCTGGAGTATACAACTTGGTTTGTTTACCTCCACATGATTTTTTTTTTTTTTTTTTAAGTTTAGTGTGGAGACTTGAAACTTGAATGTCCCTTCCAACTTTTGTATTTAAAACAAGACTAGAAAATTGAAGACTGTTTTTCACCTGTACAAAGGAATACTAAAAGGTGGTCTTAAAATTTGAGCCTTGGTCTGGAGAGAAACCATGGTGTTTGTTATGGACAATTAACTGTTAAAGTTATTGTAAGTTATCTGTATTTAGCAGAGTATTTTCAACAAGAGTGATCTGAGCTGGAATTGGAGACTATTAGTAAGTTATGTTTGGAAGTTTTAACTTCAATGAAGTAATTATTTGCTGTGAAAGAGACAAACATTGAATAACTGAACAAAGATGGTGCAATATCTTTGTTTTTTATGAGGCTCCTGAGAATAAAACCAACTGAAGCATTTCAATTCACTTGAATGAGAAACGTGTTTAATTATCGAGCCCCAGAAGACACTGGTATGAAAGGTAAAATCTCAGAGGTTGGTCAGTTAATGTGGCACACTTGCTGGTCACTTTGTAAAATGTAGATTTGGAGTACAGTGGTGAAAACATTAAATGTGACATTTGAAAACGAGGCGCTGGTGTCATTCTTTCCTGCCCCTGTCCCCCGGGGCTGCTCGGTCCTTGGGGCATTTCCCGTTCTCCTCTCGGGTGGGGCTGGGCGGGAGGTGCCGGTGCGGGTCCAGCTGGGGGGATCGGGCCGGGCCCGCTCGGTACCGGGAGCCCTGCACGGCCGGGCCGGGCTGGAACGGGACACGGGCCCTGCTCGGTACCGGGAGCCCTGCAGTGCCCGGATGGGCTGGAACGGGACACGGGCAGTGCTCGGGCTCTGGAGCTCGATATCGACGCGTCCGGGGAACGAACGGCTCGGCCCAAGGTGTGCGGGACAGGGGGGGACAGAGCCGGGCGGGGAGGGGGCGGCTGCGGCAGCGCTGGGGAAGGGGGAAAGCTGCGGGGGCGGGGCCAGGGTAGGGTGTGGCAAGGGGTGGGTGTGGCTGGAGGCGGGGCTGTATTAGGGTGTGTCCGGGGGCGGGACCGGAACAGGGTGTGGTCAGGGTTGGGTGTGGTCAGGGCTGGGTGTGTCCGGGGGCGGGGCCTGCCTCGCGGGACGTGGCCGCCGTCGGGCGCGGCGGGGGCGGGGCCTGCGCGGGGGCGGGGCCTGCGCTGGCGATGGCGGCGGCTCCGCGGTGGCGGGAGCGGCTCTTCGCCCTCTATTTCCTCTCGCACATCCCGATCACGGCGCTCATCGACCTCCAGCCGCTGCTGCCCGCCGGGATCGTGCCGCAGGCCGTGAGTGGGGCCGGGGGTCGGGATTCCGCGGATGCGTGCGGGGCATCCGCCGGTTTGATGGGGCCGGGGGCGGCCTCCGCCCATTCCCGTGTGTTGGGGACATCGGGAGGGGAGAGGAACTGCGGTGAATGTGTGAAACAGCGTCTGGAAACGGAGCGGTGCTGGTGCCCGCGGGATGAGTCACAGCCGGGCCATTCATTGGGGAGGAGCGGGAAAGGGAACGGGAACGGGAATGGGAGAGGGAACGGGAATAGGAGAGGGAACGGGAATGGGACAGCGATGCTTCATCCGCGTTCGGCGGTTGTGGCTGGCGCTGGTACCGAAAGCGGTGCCGGGGACGTGGCGGCCGCTCCGTGTCCCCCGTCCCGGGGAGGCCCCGGGAGCCGCTGCGGGGTCGCAGCTGGCCCGGCACGGGCGGTGCGGGTGTTGCCGTGCCCAGAGCGGGCTGTGCGTGTTTCACGGCTGCCACAGGACATCCTGCCCGTGGCAGTGGCCTCGCTGTCGCCCTGGCCACCGGCTCGCCGGGGCTGCGGCAGCGCGGGGCTCTCGCCACGTGCCCCGGACACGGCTCCTGCGGGCCCGGGCGTTCTCCCATCCCGAGTTCTCCTCAAATCCCTGCCAAAAACGCAACAGGGAATTGTTGCCGCTGCAGAAGCAGGCATGCTAGAGGCCGAATTTATTAGTAAAAATCTCTGGTTTGCTGGGTTTTGAACAAAATCATAGAAGGCAATGAACATCATAAAATCAATTAAAATAACAGATGGCAGATAATCAGTTCAGCCCTCATCATCAAGGTGCGGGTCGGCTGTCACCTGTTTGAGCTTTACAGCTCATAATTTGGTTTTTGCCATCGGAATTGCCTGTAGGATTACTCCAATATAGGAACAATATTCAATTAATAGTTAACCAGCAGATCTCAATGCTTATCTGTCAGTTCAAAGTCCAGCGTAAAGCCATGCTGTTTACATTTGGAGTTTACATTTTACATGGAGTTTACATTTCTGTAGGGGAACTAATTGTGACTGAGTGATCCCAAATCCTGGTGCTGAGCTGTTCCCCTGCAGCAGCCCTGGGAGGGAACCCCCAGCCCTGCTCAGGACCAGGGGCTCACACCTGGTGGCTTCATCCCATTGAGAATCAAGAGCTTTGCCCTGCTGTGCTGGATGCTCAGGGACTGACTGTTGTTTTGGCTTTTTTCAGCTGACAGACCTGTTGCAGCAGTATGCAACTGCCTTCAGGGACCCCATGATGCTGCAGCCCCCAGAGTGGTTCAAGGCGTTCATCTACTGTGAAGCCTTTTTCCAGCTGCCCTTCTTCCCCATCGCTGCCTACGCCTTCCTGAAAGGTGGGGGACGCCAGGCTGATTGAGGCATGTCCTGGGACATGCAGGACGCAGAAGAGAACATTTCTGTATCACGAGTAGGGGGTTTGAGGGATGTGCTGTGGGGGGCTGGGCTGCTAGAGCCCACACGAGTGTTCTACCTGAGAAAGCAGCACAGTATAAAGGCTTTCAGAAACAAAACCTTGTAGTACAGGCCCTTTTCAGGCACACTCATTTGTGTAACCATCATCAGCATTTGACAGCTGGCTAATTTCCAGGGCAGCTAAAGGTCTGGGTCAAACTTGTGTACTCATTTTGTTACTTTAGAAATTTTGGGATCACCCCTTTGTTCTAACTTGCCATCAGGAGAGAGAAATGTCCTTAGTTCCTACTAGTACTGAGGTTTTTCTCTGCTCCTTATTCAATCTGAGTGATGGCTTACCCTGGCAGAGGCAGCAGTCAGTGTTCTGTCACAAACCTCAGAATTCTGGTTGTTTCAAAATACTTAAATATTGTTTCCTTTTTGCCTCCGTACAGGTGGCTGCAGATGGATCAGGACTCCTGCCATTATCTACTCCACCCACGTAGCCACCACTCTGTTTGCCATCCTGGCCCACATCCTGTTCCACGACTTCTCCAGGTCGGGGCTCGCGGGCCCGCAGACGCTGCGCGAGCGCCTGGTGCTGCTCTCCATCTACCTGCCCTACCTGCTGATCCCCCTGCTGCTGCTCTTCACCATGCTCTGCAACCCCCACTACAAACACGTGGAGAAGAGGAAAAGGAAGTAGCCGGCTCTGGAGGTGGCACACGCCGCACCTGGGCTGCTTTTGGTTCTGACCCTACTCTGGTGGAGTCCTCTGGGACAAACGTCTCCCTCGTGTTGGCTGCAGCTTTTCCCAGAGCAGCGGCTGCTGCAAGGAAAAATGGAATTGGTTGGAGTGCAGAGCCCTGCTGCCACCACACACAGCTCTGGCAGGGGCCTGGGCCAGCCTGGGGTCGGGTCTGTGCAGGGCCTCTCTCCCAGGAAAATGGACTTTTAACCCTTTGCTGTGTAACTCTCTGAGGGGATACACACACACTCACTCACACTCTGCAGCTGATACTGTTCTTCCAAGGTCCCTTTTTCCAAAATGACTGTTTGGAAACCACCCAAGTAGGAAATTTGTCTTCCAGCCACATATTCTGAAGAGTCCTCAACCCATTATACACAGATTTGCAAAGCTGTTCTTCTGAAGCATTTCGAATCATATCATGATTCTTAACTTCCTTGCCCCTTCCTTTAAAATTTTCACTGCCTTTGCTCTGCTTAATTTTGATTAATTATAAATGTCTGATCAATGATAAATGTGCCAAAATCTGGATCTATGAATGCTTAAAGTTACCCTTGACAACCAGGAGCCTAGAGGATTCTGAAGTACTTCAGGAATTGTAACCAAGGAGTTGAAAATTTCTTTCTTCCCTAAAATCATTTCTGGTATGGAAATAAATAACTAAATGCATTAAACTGCATTCAGTCTTCTTCAGGGAATGGCTGAAGGAACTTACAGTGACCATGAGATGGTGGAGAGTTCACAGAGTAGATCCATTCATAAGTTACAACTACAGACAGAAGTTCTGTGGTTGGGGCTGGTTTTGATCTGGAGCCTGGTGAGGTGTAACTGACCCTTGGAATGGTTTCCCTCATCAGTCTGGTGCTCCATCCTAATAATGCCTATGAAAAGATTCAGCTCTCATATTACAACAGTCCTGAATGGACATTCCTCAGGAACAGTTCAAAGATCTTAATTCTCATGTAGTTTCTGCTTTTTTGTGTCTGTAATTGGTCCATTCTGGAAATCATACATTTCTGTCTTTCTTTTCTAATTCTATAGAAAAAGTAACATAGGTGATATAAATCCAATACTGTTGCTTGTGTGTAAACCCCTACACTGAAAAATAACAGAGCAGGAGCAACTAATTCTGGTACAGCCAGACAGTCTGAGAACAATAATTTATTTTCTGATTTCTATGAAAGAGCTGTAGAGTTCAAAAAGAGACACAACAAAGCACCAGTAGCATTAATTCAACTGTAATTTGAATTAGAACTACTGACTGTACAAAACTGGTATAAAATCAAAGGCCAGATCAGTCTGTGCAGCTGTGAGCTGTCAGCCCTCCTTATTGCCACAGTACACTCAAACCGAGGTACAGCCCCTCCATTGTACAAACCATCTGCACTCCTGCACAGTGGGAATTGCATATTTCTGAAATTCTCCAGATTCTGGAATGGTCAAGTTTCCATGTGAGTTGATTTTTATCTTCATATCCTCTATTTCTGGAAAATGAACTGGTCGATGAATTCGTTCTGGTCCGCTTCGATTTTGCAGAGAGTCTCGTACTCGATCCGGTACCTGCAGGACAAACCGGGGGGTCCAGGACCCCCACCTGTGTGAGGTGGGTCAGGGCAGCCCCCTGGCAGGGGGAGGGGACCTGGGCTACCTGTGTGAGTCACCTGTAAGCAGCAGCAGCCTGAGTCACACTGAGCAGCTCTACAGGGCCTTTATCAGCCAGACACGAGGCTGTTGCAGGTGTCTGAGTTCTGCACTGCCCTAGCTCAGCCCTGAAGTCCTCGGGGATGAACCTTGTGGTTCACTGCCGGGCCTGAAGGTGACTCCAGGCCTGTGGCACTGTTCCTGTGTGCTCTGGCCAGGACACACCTTTGATGCAGGTGGGGCTGTCTGACCCGGCCAAGGGTCCCACAGCACAGGCAGTCACCCCTCTGAGCCTTCCCAGCCAGCACAACACCCCAAAGCACTGAACAAAAAACAAAACTCACCTTTCCAGCTGCATCTTCTTCTCAGCTATCAAAGCCTGGAGCTGCTGCTCCTGAGCCTCTCTCTGCTTTGCGATCGACTTGAGCAGGTTCCGTGCCCCGATGGCCTGGCAGGACAGGGCAGGGATGTGTGAGGGGTTTCGGTTCCCTCCTTCAGCCCCTCTCCCTCGCAGCACGCTGACCGTGAGGTGTTTCAGCCATGCCAGCAATCAGGGAGGGCGGGTGCTGCTGTGCTCCTGAGGGGTCGGGGGGGCTGGGCAGGGCGAGGCCTCTGGAGCTTCCCCAAACTCCAGGAACAAAGTCAGGCACTCCTGGACACTCAAACTGGGCACTGCTCATACAGCCAGACAAGCCCAGGCTGCCAGAGGCCTCTCCTGCCTCTGGAGGACAAGTTGTACCAAGATGGAGTGACTACAAACCACACGTTCTGTTTCTGTGCAGAAATACAGACAAGCAGGGAGAGCAGGACTGGTACATGTGGAAGTAACGTGACACTGTCATAGGCTTCATTAATTCATTAGTATTGATTAATATTATCATTAATATCAATTTAAAAGGCCCAGTTAATCCTAGGGGAGTGCCAGCAGGATGCTGACACAGAATCAGTCGTTGTTTCTGCTGTAAAAAGAGGGAGGGATAGAGAGGCCTCACACAGGACAGCACACACGAGAAACCAGGAATTAACTGCACAGTACCTTCATCTTCTCACTTTCTGCAGCTTTCGCCAGTTGGTCAACAAGCTCAATCAAGCTGCCCACTATTTTCTGAAATTCTGCTGTTTCTGTAAAGAAAAAAAAATCGTCAAGTGATACCCAGAACTGCCCTAAAGAGATCTAACGCTCCTGCTTTGTCGTATAGTTTTTAGACGCAGCTGTACGCTTAGAGTTTAGCGCAAACAGCCACGCTTTAAGCTTTGGCTGTCATTAATAATCAGATAAAGGGGCGAGAGAAGGCGGGCGGTGCGGGGGAGCGGCTCGGTGCCGGCCCGGCCCGCGGGACTCACTGTCCACGAAGGCCCGGCACTCCTCGCGGAGCTGCGCCGTCTGCGCCGCCACCTCGGGCTCCAGCACCCGCAGCTTGTTCAGCTCGTCAAAGTGCAGCCCTGCCGCGCCCAGCGCCGCCTGCGCCATGGCCAGGGCCGCGGGGAGCCCTCCGCGGGCACTGCCCGGGGCTCTGCCAACACTGCCCGGGGCTCTCCTGGCACTGCCCGGGGCTCTGCCAACACTGCCCGGGGCTCTCCTGGCACTGCCCGGGGCTCTCCTGGCACTGCCGAGTTCCGGCTCCTCCGGCCCCTCCCGGCTCCGCCTCCGCCAGCGCTGGGCCCGCCGGGAGCCGCCGAAACTCTTCCGGGCCGGCGGTTCCCGGGGCGGGCCGGGGCTGAGGGGCGGCTGCAGCGGCGGGTGAGCGAGGCCGGGCGGGTGAGCGGGGCTGGGCCGGGCCGGGCCGTGTGTGGGGCCGTGAGCAGGGCCAGGCCGCCTCTGTCCGTGGCCGGAGCCGTCCCCGGCCGGAGCCGTTCCCGGGGGCCCGGGCTGTGCTCGCCGTGGGGCCGGGGCAGGGCCCTCACGCTCCGTGTGACCCGTGCGGGGTTGCGGGGCGGGTTCCCGTTCTCCCCCGGTACCCTCGGGTTCCGCTCGGGTCGCTCCTTTTGCCGGCGGTGCTGAGCAGGGCCGGGCCCGCTGTGGGCCATTGTTCCGCCTCCTACGCGGGGCAGGAAGGGACGGGAAGGGATGTGGGGAATTTTCGGTCGTGTCAAAAGGAGTAATTAAAGATCTCGTGGCTGTTTACAGCAGAGGCCTCTCAGCTCCCCGGTGACCTGGCTGGGCAGGGGGTTTAGCTTCTTTGCTTGTGTTTGCTTCGTTCTTCGGTCAGAGCAGTGAGAAACTGCCTGGAGGGACGGCACTGATCGCGAACTCTTCTGAGGAGCTGGGTCGGACAGTCTGGGTTCCTGTCTCCTCACGGGTTCGGTCTGGCTGCTGTCACAAACAGCAATCCATAAAAAGGGGATTTTGACGGTTTAAAGCAAGGCAGGGCATCAGTGACAAGCGGTGGTGTACGTGGTGGGGAGTCTTGTTTATTTTCTTTTCAAATTAGAACTGCGTTCACTGGTCAGGGCTCCAGGATGGATGAAGGGGAGTTTTTGAATGAGAGGAGTTACCAGAAAATAGAACTTTGTGATCCATCTTTTCAGTGTTGAGGTATTTGAAGGGACATTTGTGTCTTTAGTTAAAAGTCAGACCAACATCAGCAAACCCCGCTCAGGGGGATGCACACACACAGCCCAGCTGAAGAAGGAGCAGGAAGCTCTTGCAGGGCATTTCATCTGGACCCAAAGAGAGTTGGGTTCTTTTGGGAAGGTGAAGGGGAGCTGAATTCCAGCAGTGCTGTGTGATGTTTGCAGCCTTGGCTGGAGAGACAACAACAGGAAGTTGGCAGAGTTTCAGGTGCCTCAGAAATGCGACACAGCGATAGTTTGGCTGCATGAATTGCCTGGAAAATAGCTAACCTGTGTTTGGTCAGGATGTGTGTGCTGCATCCTTAGGAAGTGTCTCTTCCGCAGGGTGACATCCATGTCTGTGTGTGGAGTGGCCGTGCTGACCCCGAGGTGATGCCAGCCCCTGTGCCATAGTGACCCCG